GCTGCCCGCACAGCTTCAACCCCCCCAAAAAAGGCAAATCCGGGGAAGCAACTGCGTCCTTCGCGTTTGCCGGGCCGAACCCCAAGGCGCGTTCGCCCAGGGCGCAGTCTGCGCTCTTGGACGCGGGCCGCGGGCACGTCGGGGCTCCTCAGGGTCGCCCTCAGCCCCTCCTCTCCCCTCCACGGGTGGGCTAGGCCGGCTGGGGCGCCCCTCTGCGTCTCACCAGAGGTCAAGCTGCGAGTCCCCGGAGTCGTTCGGCGGAGCCAGAGCCTGTCCCGCAGCGGACAGACGGGGGGACTTCTCCCAGCCGCAAGGCCTGGCCGCCCAGCGGGCCTGAAAGGCTGGGCGCGCGCTGTGCCCAAGGACAACCAGCAGAGGCTTCCAGATGGGGCTCAGCGTGCCTCCTGGGCTGAACACGCTCAGCGTTTACCCAGGTAAACAGCCCCATTTTTGCCTGTTTTCATAGAAAACACCATGCTGATTGGTTCCGTCAAAAACACCCCAAGTGTGTGTCCCATCCAGCTCCCCCCCTCCTGCCTCCACCCATTTTCTTGAAACGAGACACCAACGGGACTGGGGTTTTATGTAGAAAAACCTGACCCCAGCTCCCCTCTTTCCCAGTCACATCTCACTCCAGATACACCCAAACTCTCTCGGGCCTGTGTTCCCAGCTTTCTGTCCGCGATCGGCGTTGCCAGATGGAGCTGGGCCAGGAGAGCGACCTTGAATTACTGACTTCCAAACTTCCCTCTCCCTGGCCCGGCCAGCCAGGCAGAGCTACTGCTCTAGCCCTGAGGTCCAGCACACTGAGCCCAAAGGGGAGGCTGCTTTGGGCACCCCCCCCAAAGCCTGAGGCCTCAGTCAAATGCCTGTTCTTGGGCCAGCGTGTCCCGGAATGACCCATTATCCCCTTCACTCTGTTCCCAATTCTCTTGCTCAAAACACAAGCAGAGACCAGGGAAGCCTGTGGGTATGTGGCTCTCATGCCGTCCTGGGTGTTATCCTGCGACACCTGGGCCTCGGGGTGCATACCTGTCAACCGGGAGAATGCACCCGCCGAGGATCCTTCTGACCCAGACATTCAGATTCGTAGCATCCAGTGCTGTGTGCCGGACTGAAATGGTCCTAAAGAAATTGCTGCCTGGCCTAGCGGTTTGCTCAGTGGCTAGAGCATCGGCCCGCGGACTGAAGGGTCCCAGGTTCGATTCTGGCCAAGAAAGGGCATGTACCTCGGTTGCAGGCTCCATCCCCGGCCCTGGTCAAGGCTCTCGTGCAGGAGGCAACCAAATCGATGTGTCTTTCTCCCATCCATGTCTCTCTCCCTTCCACTCGCTCTGAAAAGCAATGGAAAAACAGCCTCNAAAGGGCATGTACCTCGGTTGCAGGCTCCATCCCCGGCCCTGGTCAGGGCTCTCGTGCAGGAGGCAACCAAATCGATGTGTCTCTCTCCCATCGATGTCTCTCTCCCTTCCACTCGCTCTGAAAAGCAATGGAAAAACAGCCTCGATTTAAAAAAAAAGAAATTGCAGCCCAATTGACATTTGCATAACATCTCACCCCAAAACTGCAGAATATACAGTCTCCTCAAGTGCACATGGGACATTCTCAAGGACAGACCACATGTTAGGGCACAAGACAAGTCTCTGCAAATTCAAGAAGACTGAGACGGTATCAAGCATCTTCTTGGACATTTACACCGTGGAATANGTTCAAGAAGACTGAGACCATATCAAGCATCTTCTTGGACATTTACACCATGGAATACTATGCAGCTGNATTCAAGAAGACTGAGACGGTATCAAGCATCTTCTTGGACATTTACACCGTGGAATACTATGCAGCTGTGAAAAAGAAAGATCCCTTACCCTATGAGACAGCATGGAGGGACCTGGGGAGGATTATGCTGAGCGAAATAAGCCAGTCAGAGAAAGACAAGTGTCACGTGATCTCACTCATATGTGGAATCTAATGAGCAAAATTGATGAGCAAAGTGGATCCAGAGACATGGAAACATGGAACAGACTGAGGGATCTCAGAGGGAAGGGGTGGGTAGGTGGCTGGGTGGGTGGGGAGAGATTAACCTAAGAATTTATATGCATATATGTGTAACCCAGGGACACAGACAGTGGGGTGAAGGCCTGGGG